CAGCCTGCACCACAAATGACCGTGTAGGATCTGGGTGTCGTAGCACTGGTTCCTGCACAAACAATGTCTTCAAGGACTCAAACACCTGTTGACATGCCATGTCCCACTGGATCAGATGGCTTGGCTGAGCTTCCCACTGAGGTGTTTAGTCTTCAGTAAATTGGTTAATGGCAATACCACTTTGGCAAACGAGGGAATAAATTGGCAGTAGAAATTGGCAAACACCAAGAAGCTTTGTAACTGCGTCCGGGTCCTGGGTGCTTGCCAATCAATGCTCCCTGTACCTTTGCTGGATCCATTTCTATTCCAGTTCAAGACACCCTATATCCCAGGTAGTCTAACTGGGTTTTGTGGAATTCACATTTGGTTAATTTTACATAAAAACTAGCTTTCAATAATTTGATGGGGACCTCTCGTACTAACTGGACATGCTCATCCATAGTCCTTGTATAAATTAAAATGTCATCCAAATAAACAAGTACATCATTGTACAAGTGTTCATGCAGAACCTCTTTTATGAGCTGCATAAACACCACCGGTGCTCCTTACAACCCAAATGTCACTACTCAATATTGGAAGCTTCCGAGGGGACAATTAAAAGCTGTATTCCACTCACCCCTCTCCTGTACTCTGACTCGGTAATAGGTCTCATGGAGGTCTAACTTCGTAAACCCTGTGCCAACCGAGCCAAGTATTTAGGTCCCATGCATAAGGCATTAATGCTGCGGAAATCCACACAGAGACGCAAGCCTCCATCCTTTTTCTCCAGAACTATACAGGAGCAGCTATAGGAGACCAAACTGGTTGGATGAACCCCCTAGCCAGATTTTTCTCGCTATACTTTCGCATCTCATCCAATTCCTTAGGCATCATACAACACATCTTCGGCTTTAGAAGTTTAGTCCCTGGCAATATTTCTAAGGCGCAGTCAGTTGAACGATGTGGCAGAAGTACATCACAATCCTTTTTGCTAAATACTTCGGCTAGGTCATGGTACACCTCAGGGAAAGCTGGTTTATCCCCTACGGACTTTGCTACAATTGGCCTGGACCCACTTCAACCCCACTATTTAGCACTGGTCATTCATGCGGTGGTGGTTCCGGTGTGACACCAATCTGCAGATGTCGACAGCCACTCCCCACCAAATAGTGGGACCCCACTTGTCCAACCATGGAAGCCCTAATATAGTTTCCACCATCCGTGGCAAGACAATGAATCATATTAATTCCCAAAGCTGCCCAAACCCAAGCTTTATCTTCTCAGTAATATGGATAGCTGGAGCCCCACCCAACAGGGAACTGTCCGCCTGTTCGAATCTCATAAGGTAAGATAATTTCCATAGCCTCACCCCCAATTCATGTACGGTATCCAAGCTGATCAGACATTGGGTACTACCCAAGTCAATAAGGGCATTATAACTCTGACACTTACACCCTGTAAGAACAACTGGCAACCAAAACGACTGTATTGGTCTACTTACCATGGGATCAGTTTCACCTTCCTCATGGCTGTCACAGCTTTCAATCAGGGCCCGCATTTCCACTGATGACCCCTGTGACTCATCAGTGACTAGGACTCGAACCCCTCCCCTCTGTTTGCTGGACACCACAATGTTGCATTAGGGTCCCGAGGCTGAAAGTAAACCAATCCACGGATAGCTGAACCAACAGAAGTTTATTGAGCAT